CAGACCTCTTTTAGTTGTTTACTTTCATTCTGATTTTCGTTTCTTTCTTTGCTCCTATCGGTTGAGAAAATTCATAATGTCGATGAAGGAAAGGGCGAAGGAGAAGCTTCTCTCTTCGGCTTTGAGATGTCAAAGTTCTGCTCTTCAGAGATTCTCATGTTGATGACAGTTCGATGATATATAGCCATGAAAGAGGAAACATGGTCAGCTGTCGACGGTTGCTTTTTCTCTATGTTTCTTTCCTCCCACCTCCGATAATTGCTTTTTCTCTTTGTTTCTCATACTCATGTCTATTCAAATTTTCAATCACAGTTCATAATCAAATCTGGGAAGGAACAAGTATGTCACTTTCTCAATCCCAACTCAGAAACATCTTGAGCAAGGAATAGGTACATTGTTTTCATCCCCATTTTGGTTTCGTTGGATTTCCTTTGAAGTAGTTTTCCCTCCTGCTGTTAATGTTCACATGTGCTCTTTCCTCTTCAATTTCCACAATTCCATTCATGTTGCTTCCTCCCGTCCAAATCCAGGACGGGGATTGCAAGCTGGGTTTGTTTTGTGATGACTGGCTTCAGTTTCTAGAATCTGGATGTTATGCTTCTGTTTTATGGTAGTGTCTAATGAAATCTGTTTTTCGCTTTATCCCCAGAAATTTTGCGTCCGTGTTCGCTTTTTGCATTGTTCATTTAGTTCTCTTATATGTGGTTTCATTTGAGCGTACCAAAAATCATTTTACTTGCCATTTCCATTTACTTGCTTTCTTTGCTACTCTAATTTACGGGTCCTCTTCTCCAGTTCCCAAGTATTAGAGTCTATAGTCCACTATTCGAACTGGATAGTGCTGTATGAATCTATATTTATGTTATTGCTCATTCTTTGAATCCTATTTGAAATGATTTGTACATGCCACCTGTAGAATCCACGAACGATAGCAACATGACAACATTTGGTGCAAACTTGGGGAAGCTGTAATAAGGCACCTCTTGACAGCAGCAAGAAGGTGGTGTGAAGGAGATCTGCGCGTTCTTGGAGCTTCTGATTGCACCTTCAACTACTGATGAAGTCCTAGATTTGGCAGCAGCTGGAGCACTGCTCCTAGCGCCCCAATTTCAACAAGTCTCGCTTTCATTCCCACCCATGCCGAGGTATTTGATTCTCTTGCTCCGTGGAAGCTAGCTTTTCTATTCCTCGATTGGCCTGAGGGTTTATGGTGCTCATGTTTGATTTTTTTATTGATAGTGTAGTGTCAAGTTCTGAACCGTGAGGGTGGTTAATTGTGCAGGGATTTACCAGGAATTGAATATGTTTTTGTCTTGAGAATTTGTTTGGATTGTAGTCAATTAGATTATGCTATTTGGTTGCAATCAAATTCATGGAAGCATGCAATGGTACTCATGTGATCAGAATTATTGGTCTAGGACTTCGGAGTTTGCGAGTGAAACCAGCAAGTATTATTTTTCTGTTACTGTTTGTGGGGTCTTTCATTGTACCCAATGGTATACTGCTTGTGCGTAGTGAAAGTTGCTTACCAAAAGTTCTGTTTTGTAATTGCGAACTTATACTGTACGTCTTTGTTTGCATGTTCAATGCTCTCTACAGGTTGCAGGCTGTGTGTACATTTACCCTTCAATTTCAATAGATAACAGAATTTGGGTTTGTGACTTTACGAAATAATTCTTTCATTTTGCAATGCTTAACATCATATATATGTTGTTCTTATCCTTTATAATCCCATTGCTCCATACAGGTGAAAGATCACACCAGACATCCATCAGCATCATCTTCTGCTTTAGTGGAACTAATAGTACTCCTTAAATTTGTCAGGAAAGCTATCACACGTCATGGACCAGCTCCGCAGTTTCGATTTAAACTATGACACAATGACCTCTTACTGTATTTGAATATAATTTCTTTTTCCTGCATGGTGGCGATAGTGAAGTGATGCTGCAGATTACAAATTTAGATGAGGAGATCAAGTTGGTCAGAGCTGGTTGATTTCAAGCCACGAAATTTGATAAGATAAGTATAATTAGCAAGATGAGAATCTATGTGGCCATCATTTATCGGTAAAGTTCGAATGCCTCATGATTACAACTGTTATTCTACTGAATTAAAGGTTTACATAACTAGGGCCGGTGATTTGGCTGAGTGGATGGGCCGTTGGGGCTACTGAATTTGGATGCTCATAAAAAAAAACACGCAGCCAGGTTTATCATCCCGTCAAGGTTACTACGGTAGACCAGCTGTGGAGCTATTTATACTTCCATAATCAGATTCTCCAATTTATTATTTCAGTTCTGATTGTCCTGCTGTGTCACAAGGATTCGAACAGGTGCTGCAAGCCTACAACGGCTAATTTGAATGAAGAACTTGGATAGGTTGATGGTGTGCTACCTGACAAATGCTTTGCATACATGAAAGAAGTTGAGTAGTAGCCTTCGAGGTCTGAAGTGAAGGAAACCAAGGAGATCTTGAAGCTGCTCGAGCTATTGATGAAGAGGTTGGTAAACCTGCCAGGAGAGTCGGTCTAATAAGTTCAATCGACTTATTGTTAGATTTATCATGTTTCATGTAGTTTTTTGCCTGAGATATCCGCCCTTTTTGTTTACGTTTATAAATAGGTGTCTGCAATTGAAGTTGCTATCAATGGTGGAACAAAATTTGCAGAAGATGAATTTGTTGTCTCAACAGAACTACTGGTGTGGCAGAGTTGCTGAAATTGGATACTAACCAGTCTGAAGGAGAAGCTCCAGTTCAACGGAAAGACCAGCCAGCCATAACTAGAAACCAATGGTAGGTTCTTTGATTAGATTGATACATTTATTCTTGAGTTAAATAACTGGAAATCCAACAACTCTTGAAATACAACTTCTTGCTATGCTGAAGTTTTTATACTTTTGTTCACACCTTTTACATTTTCATCGTAGTACAAGGCGAGACAAACTCCAATTACTTTCTCCTCAACCACGATGCAGCAGCCGCATTATTCCAAGAATTTCGTTTGAGGTGCGTACTCGACCTCTACACCTCAAACGAGTTGGTCGCCATGAAGTTATCAGGACGTGGTATCGCCATACACGACCATGTCGAACAACAAGGCTCTTCACTTTACAACAATCGATTACCTGAATTCCGCTTGGTTTCACAATCCTATGATGTAACATTCCCTTTTTTTGTCAGATTGTCTGGCTTTGCTTAAATTCGCAAGCATTGTCCTCCCTATAACTAATGCCTTAATCTGCCTGCTTGACCACTTCCTGGTACCGTTTTTACAGTCCTTTTTTCCCTTAAACCAACAAAGTGCTTGCCTGCCTAACTAACTTTGCTCACCTGTTTTATTTCCCTGCATGCTACACAATACCGTTGCTTAGCACAAGTCCTCCCTGCAAAGTCTTCACGAACGTGGTTTTACTTAGGATGTGCCTTTTGTTTTAAGACAACTAGGGAGTTTCCTGGCACTAATGATTTTTGGTGTGATGAACATGGCCAGTTGATACCTAAAGAAACCCAAAATTGGTTATTTTAGCATCCAGCGTTTTTTCCCACATTACAATACCCACGAACAACTGAACCCTGAATTTCTAATACATTTTTCCAGCTACAAAATCAATTTGATTCTCGGAGACACTATTGGTTCGGCGTGCTTTATCATACTTGGAAAGACCGCTGAATATTTGCTTGGGATTACAGTTGATGAACTATTAGTGCGTCACCCCCAACACCATGGATATTTTCCTACAGAAATTGTGGCCATGAATGGATGCTGGTTTTCGTTTGATGTTCAACTTCCTAAACCTGGATATTTGCCTGAAACCCCTCTAGACTTTACCATCCTTTTTGCAGTCGACCACAGCCCGCCTCAGCAATAGACTCATCAAAACAGTCCTTACCTGTGAAAAAAGTAATTGTGCTAAGATGTTGACAAACATAAATCTTTTCCTGTATCTATCCAGGGAAAAAATTAATAGGCAAAACTCTGATCAACTATCTACCATATTACCTCTGCTCTTGTGAGTGCTTGCATGACATGCAATTATGCTTTTCGACCCTCCTGCCTATTTAACTAACACTCCTTTTGTACTGCTGTTTGAAGTTTCAAGGGGAAATGCAAATATCTCCACAAATTTCAAGTAGCGGTTAGGTAACTTTCACTTACCCCACCATCACCAAATGGCACTCTTCTAAACCACATCCAATGCAAAACAGCAAAATATTTAAGCTGTACTTTCCAAATCAATAAATCTAACACCAACCAATGTGTCTTGCTCCATTATATGGTAACACCCGCCTTACAATATTTAATAAGTTTGTGTATCTGATATGCACAGAAAAACTATTAACGTGCACAAAAATCTCCAAATTTCAACTGAAAACTCTACATTTTCCCAATATAACCTCCCCGCCGCGAAGCGCGGGCTTCCTTCCTAGTATAAATAGCAGGACAAAATCCCTCCAACTCATTGGACCCCCCTACAACAAATCAAATTTCTTAAGCTGTTCATACGAAACTTAATAACCCAATTATTGAACAAAATCAATGTACAAATGGTTATTGAACAAAATCAATGTACAAATTCAAATGTTCAAATGATATTTTATATTAGTTTTTGTCGAACAAGTTTTAAATTTGTTCAAACGAAATAGTTATGTCACGTCTTATTACCACTTCAAAGCATAAAATCTTTTTTATTTTTTCAAATATGATTGCAGAAAGCCAGCTAATTTGAAGCCTAAGCTTGTTGAGCAAAACTTAACATGCAAATATTGAAGATTGTGAAACCATACCGAAAGTTGTATCGACAGAGTATTTTATACAAAAATCAAGGTTTAATCATGGTTCAACAATTTCATATAGCTAAAAATATTGAATTTTTGAATTAATTAGATATTTTCTATCTCCTTGTCTTTCTTTTTAAATTTGAAAAATGTTTTTGGTTCGCCTAAAAAGAAACTCAGAAAACCTTAATAAAAAGCAAAGCGACATGTCTTCCACCCACATTCTCTACTCCACTCCACCACTAACCCACTCCTCCTCTCCCTCTTCTCTTTTTATTGGGCCCTCTGTTTCTGTTTCACCAGTGCCTGCAAATCCAGCGGAAACTTGACTGTCTCCTCCATTTTTTTTTATTAAACCCTCCCTTCTCCTTCTTCTCCTCCTCCCTCTTCCTTCCCACCACACAGACTCTCATTCCCTCCCTGATCTCTTCACCACTCTGTTCTTCCCCCCACCTTCTCTAATGGCTACTCTCTCCGTCGCAGACCCGGACCACAGGGTTCCTCTCAAACCCGAGTTCCACTTTCCATCCGAGTTCCCATACGAGTTTGACTCGTCCCCCGACACTGATAGCGGCGACGACGAGGACGATTTCTTCGCCGGGTTAACTCGTCGCCTGACTCAGCAGCTCTCCTTCAAGTCCCAGGTTTGTGTTCCGTTTTCCCCATTTGCTCTGCTTTTCCTCTTCACTTTTTCTACTAACACAGAACCTAACCCTGTATTTTCTTTTGCTTTGACAGAAGAACCGGGTTGTGGTCGGGTCGCCCGAGTCGACGCTGAACGGGTTGGGAAGCATGTCGGTTTCGAGCAACGGGAGCCCCAACGGAGCTTCGTCGCCGACAACTACCACTACTCCGTCCCCATTCGGAGCTAAAAACGACACGTGGGATCTGATTTACGAAGCCGCCGGACAAGTGGCGAGGCTGAAAATGGCCACCGCCAGCAGCAACGGCGGAGCTTCTAGCAAGAGCTGTAGCAACTTTCAGGGGATTCCCTCATCTGGGTCGTTTTACCCTCTCAGCCACAATATTCCGCAGCACATGGCACAGGTAAAATTATGAAGCTACATCCGTAATTTGTTGGGGGGAAATTCCGAGATTTGGTTTTGCTTATTTCTTTCTCTGTGCAGAATCAGCAGTTGAGGCACGAACATGCAGCTCCAAAGGGGCAGTGGCCTTCGGTTTGGGAGAGGCAGCAGTTGCAGCAGCAAGTGAAGGCAGCCAACTGGCAGAAATTTCAGCCGCCGCAGCCGCAGATCTCGTGCAGTAAAGGTGTGTATGAAAGCGGAAGATTTGTTGTCCGGCCGCCGCCGCAGCCGCTGCCCGCTTGGCCGCCGCTTCAAACGAATCGTGCCCAATACAACCAAAATCAGACTCTTGCGAGTTCGAATTTGGGAACTAGGGCATCAGCAGGGTATGTGGGCGGCGGATTTGGTTCTAATTCAAAGAGGGAATGCGCTGGGACAGGGGTTTTCCTTCCTCGTAGATATTCGAACCCTACAGTGGATTCCAAGAAGAAGCCTGCTCCTTCTGGTACTAACATTTTCAATTTCCTTGTATTTTTGTTGTTTTCTTCTTGCCCTCTTGTGGGTTCCTGGCGGTGGACTTTCGGGGTTTGATTTTGAAATTTCAAAAACTGACATTTTGTGGGTTTGTCACTTTCGAACTTGCTCAGCAGTTCTTCTGCCGGCGAAGGTAGTCCATGCACTCAACTTGAACATGGAGGAGACGGCGAGTTATAGCGGCCAGGGTCAGTCTCGTATCAACGCCTCTTTCGCCGCTGATTATGGTAAAATCTAAAAAGCAATAGTGTTCCTGTATTTTTATTCAAAATTTTCTCAACCCCTTTCAGTTATAGTACTCATTTCTTGCTCTGTTAATTTTTATTTTACAGCGGTCCTGTTGGCAAGAAGGAACGCGCTGCTGGCACAGCAGCAACAGAAGAGAGCAATGCTCGCCGAAAGTGCATTGATAAGCCATGAAATTGGGGCTGCGCTGCCTCAGGAGTGGACGTACTGATTCGCAGGGTCTTTGGTTTTGGGGAAACTGGGATTAGGGTTTTTTTTGGGGCCATATTAGGCAACAGTAATAAGATGGGTTTTAGACTTTAGTTGAAGGAGGGAACTGAAGAAGTTAACAAGTTCCCTCTTCTTGTTTTTGGGGGGTTGATTTTGAACCAGGCAGGAGTAGAAGTGGGAGAAGGATAGTGAAGATGAAGAAGGGGGGTAATTTTGTTTGTAATAATGTGGGTATCATTAGTAATAAACTATAGTGGGGGTATTTGTTAGTTATATTAATTATTGGTTTTGATGTCCTTTAGGGAACAGGAAGGGAAGGTTCTTTGTAATCCAAGGGGAAAAGAAAGAACAGTAGAAAGGAGAGAATGGAGACATCTTAAATCTAGTTCTTCTGTTATCTCTCTCCAGGAGCTCTCTAGGCTCTGTTTAGGATCCAGTAATGTCTCTCTCAAGACTCTTTAATATTGTGTTACTTTCCAGTTTTTACCATTACTATTTACTACCCTCTTCCTCCCCTAGGCGGACTGTAAAATTCTAATAAAGGTTGAAAAAGAAAGAAAGGGAATTTCCTTCTTTTTGAATGGTTTGGCGTGTTGGGTTGTGCTCTGCTTTTCCTATTTTTTACTCTGCTTCGTCTGTTAGCTTTTAACTTTGTCGATTTCGTCGAGGCAGAGGGCTGGGGTCTTTGAATCGAGGAAGAAAGTGAAAGGGCCAGAAGAAGAAACCAAGTGGATCTAATATGTTGTTGGTTAATTGCACCACATACCATATAAGTATTGAATCTGTTGCATACTGACCACTTATATTATTTTTGTTGCAACTAAACCACATAAATCAACTTTTAGTTGCATCGTTACATTTTCCGTCCCTAAATTTAACAGCGGGTATCAAATTGCAGTTTTCCATTCCACATGGCATTCTAGCTCAACTTAATTGACGAGTCAGATAATGAACTACTAAATAGTAAATCCATCAATTATACACCAGTAGCTATAACTACAAGCAACTGAACCAGGTTCTGGGTTTTGCTTCCAGCAATTGAATCGTAATCTGGCGATTGGAGCGACACAACTAGGATTGTCGAAGCCGCAACACTACTGGGATCGCCGAGGAAGATGGTGAGGGCCGAGGAGGACAATTTTCTGGGTTTTCGAAGTCGCAACGCTGCTGGGATTGTCGAAGATGACAACGAAGCCCGAGGACGACGATTTTCTGGGTTTCTGAAGTTGCAACATAGCTGGGATGGCCGTCGATGGTCAAATCACAGAGAACCCAACCAACGCTCTCTGCATCTGCACACGCCTGTATCACATGCACTATCCGATCTGATTTTGGATTTGGGTTTTCTTCGATTTGGGTTCATCGTGTTGCGATTTCTGGGCTTGTGATGGTTCGAGCAGATTCGTCACTGGATTATGGTCTGTGGTTGCTTGGAGCGACAACGGCAACTTCGTTCATTCCCCCGTCAGCTGTGACTTTCTTGAGCGGTTGGAGAGCTCCAAAGGAGACGAATCGGGCAGCAAATCTTGAGCGGTCAAATTGGGGTACTGTTTTTTGAGAGGGAGGAGATGGAAAGAGAAACTGCAGAATTTGAGTGAAATTCCAGATCCCTAGAAACGCTTAATCATGTTGGTCATGTTGTTCATCGAGCGGGTGTACATGGGAGTCCTCATTATTCTGATCAAGTTGTTAGCCAGCGGCCGGAGAAGTGGTACAAATGGGAACCGATGAAGGCGACGCCGAAATGGGAAACTCCGGCTACCCCATGGTCTTAATCAAAGTCCCAATGTACAATGAACGCGAGGTTAGTTAAACAAAAAATCCACACTCTAACAACCCAATTAGTAAACCTTGATATGCTCTGCTTTCATTATTGTTCTTTGTTTTGTTTTTCATACTCTGTTTTAGTTTTTATAGCTAACATAGAAGCCAGTTAAGAGTTTTAGTTTTTATAGCTAACATAGAAGCCAGTTAAGAAGTTGGTAGTCTTGCTAGTAGCCATGCTAAAACTCGATTGTATCTCGGTGCAATATGATATGTTTGATTTAATGGTCTTGTTCTACTTCCTATTCAATCACCAATTCAGAACTTCATGCCCTGCTATTTCATCCTACCTATATACGATGCTTGTCGTCGATTTGATGCTCTATAGGGATCGTTGGATTTCAAGTTTGAGCCACTCCATGATTTCCGTTTTCCGATCACCGGTAACTCATATACCTCCGACCAAGGTTCTGATGGACTACCCTCTAATGCGGTGCAAGGTGCAACGAGTAGAGGGAATTCGTCAAAGATTCCAAAGAGACACCTGGATTTTATGGCCCACCATAGGATGAGTTGGAATGTTTGTGGAATGTAAAAATTCAGATTGGTACCCGCCGTTAAATTTAGGGACGGAAAATGTAACGATGCAACTAAAAATCGATTTATGTGGTTTAGTTGCAACAAAAATAATATAAGTGGTTAGTATGCAACAAACTCAATATGGTATGTGGTGCAATTAACCCTTGTTGGGTTGTAACTTGTACCTTTTAATGCAGGCCGGCTGGCTGGTTCTTTGACCGTAATAGTTTAACTTTAACAAGTAGCTCTCTCTCTCTCTCTCTCTCTCTCTCTCTCTCTCTCTCTCTCGTTCTCGTTGGAGTTGGACTAATATAAACAAAAGGGGAAAAGAATGGGTTGCTGCATGCAGAGATTAGGAGACAAAGTGACATGCTCTCAACTTCCTTGGGCTCTGTGTTCTTAACAGTCGTGAGAGTTTAACTTCGAAATCTGCACCAACACTAGGGAGGTTTCCAATACTACACACTACCACTTCAACTTTTTACAAAATAAAAGGCTAGTGCTAGTGGTATACTCCTATTATTCATGTTACTCAAAACTTATCCTTTTGGTATAAGTAAAGATTGTAAAAATAATAGCATTTGTGTTTGCAGATCAAATTATAGCTCAAACAGTTCAGATTCCTGAGTTATAATGCTATGAATTCACTTCTTCTATATGATTGCTTCTGAAGGCACCTACCTCTCAGTTTTGATAAGAGTAAACTTAATTTGTTTCAAAATATTGTCATGTTATAAATATCGTGATAAAGTCATGATGGATTAATTACTAGAGCGAATAACAAAACACCGGATAAGCCCAAGTGATGAGTATTTTTTTTTTTTTTTTAGCCTTGATCTACACCGATATTTGTATTAAAGAAAGGAGAGGGTTGAGGGGGAAAGTGGAAAAGGGCGGGCAAAGGTGAAATGGGTTACTGCTGCAAATTAGCTTTGCTTCAGCTTGAAGCACCAGATTTCGTAATACAGAAACAATCAAATCCAATCCAATCCTCCTCTGCTCATTTTTGCTTTTTATTTTATATCTTACTTTGGATCCAGTTGTTCGAGTACAACAGGACTGATGTGTTGTGAACTGGATTGGAATGGGATGGACCATTTGGGTTCATGAAACGCAATTTTGAAGCTAATAAATATTTTTGTTCTCCAAATGTTTTAGTAGGAATTGCTTTTCGTACGCTATTGTTTAGCAGGCGGCAGAATTAGGTGGGCTCCACAGCAACTCCTCTATATATATCTGGTTACTGGGCTTCTCTATCTGTTTGGGCCACTTTCCACCGTCCATTTGTTGAAACCCCACAGGCTAGGCCCCATGTTGTACCTTCCCTCCTCCAGCTAATTTCAACTTCCGATTTTCCCGGCTCTTTTATTCAAAAAACAAAATTCATTGTAGTCTAGGATGCATTTATTTCTTTCACAAAAAAGAAATGGCCATTTACTCAACCAATATATATTTTTCTTCTTAATTCTATACATGGCCATTTTTGTACACCCTAGACACAAACCTAATATTGACAAACCACGAGAGATCCATGATTCTAAGAAGCATTCAACCTGATTACAAATATATATTTTGTAGTGATATGAATAAAAAAAAAAAAAAGTCGGACATTCATAAAAAAAAAAAATCGGATGTTACCATTTCCATAACATAACATAAAATAAAGTAAAAACGAAAACTATACGAGACATTTTAGCAATTCAAATTTTCGTCCGACCAAGTCCAATGATTTTTATTTCCTAGTGGCCCCCGCAGCATTCTCTAGCAGTGGGATGGGGGATACTACTGGAAGTGGATGAGATTCAGATTCATAAGCACAAGGAAAAAGTGTCGTCCACCCAGTTCACCTTATAGTTCCTGGAGGAAAGCAAGAAAAATTTGTATTTTTCCAAACAATTGTCTTACATAGATTTAAACGATTTTCTTTTTGTTTCTATGCTATTCCAAAATCGATTTCCAGAGGTGTTTGATCTACTTCCATTCTTTGGACATAAAAGTGTAAAAAAAAAATCGAGCCAAACGTAGACTTTATTAGAGTTCGATGATAATTAACTAAATCTAACTTTTAAACCAAAATTTTAAAAGATCCAATGAGCAAGTATGTCGGAAGGTTTGATCCTTGATTATGCTCTATCCCATTGATCAGGCAGTGTAGTGCTTCATACAATCTGCATCGAGATTAATTGCATAAACAGGGTGCTTGATAGCGTAATTAAGGGGCGAATGTTGGAAAAAGGTTGAGTTGAAGTGGAGTTAAGCTTATTTTATTGATGTGAAAGGGAGAGTAGCTAGTTAGATTAATAACTTAATTAAGTGGCTGAGTTGAGATTAATTAACTATAAAATGTTGGAAGAGAAGAGATAACTCATAACAGAGCAGAGGCAGGCCCAATGTGTCTGGATCAGCAGCTACCATTTTGTGCTGTGCTGTCTGTCATCATCACCAGAGCCCAGTGAGAGGCCAGCAACTCAGCCACAGTGCTCAAATCACCAGTCTCTGTCCGATCAAGTTCGAGGTACGAATGCCCACAGTATTTTAATTGGCTCTTTTCCTCTTACCAAAATCTCAAACCTCCAACAGATGTTAGCCATAACCATAGAACTAGGGCTGCAAATGAGTCAAACTGTTCGCGAGTGACTTGGCGTTCGACTCGAGAAAAGCTCGTCCGAAACTCGGCTCGTTAATAAATGAGCCGAACACGAGCTCACCTTTGTTCAGCTTGTGAAGCTCGCTAGCTAGCTCGACTCGGTGGCTTGTTGAGCTAAACTCGTGAGCTGGCTCGTTTAGAGCTCATGATATGTCTTAACATGTGGCTAGAGAACCAACTCGATTACCAACTTATGGACGAATCAATCTATATCTTATGATTTTAATTCATATGGTTGTTAATTTATATATCTCACCATATATAAAGTTTTGCACGTTAAGTATGTGAGCAAATATATCTTATTTTCTACTTTAAAAAGAAATTATACATCATAGATTGCTTCGATACAATGAAATAACATGATTTGAAGTAGTTAAAAATTTATTAACTAAACGATATACGATACCAACAAAGTATAAAGTATAAGATGAGATTAACTAACAAAATAAATCATATGTATCATGATATACAAAATGAAGTACCAAATAAAAGTTAAGATATTAATAAACAAGCTAGCTCGAGCTCGACTCGACTCGGCTCGTTAATAAACGAGCCGAGCTCAAACTGGGGTAAAACTCGACTCGACTCGGCTCATTTGTAGCCCTAGAACTAGATAAATGGTTCGTGATTTGCCGCGAAGATGACCATAATCACAGTATTTACTGTACCCGCTGGGATTCAAATTCCTAGTTTCAGTTTTGGAGGGAAAACCATGCTCTCTGTCTCTGAGACTCAACGGACTTCAGTTCAGTACCGACTAAGTTTGTCAGGTTTCCTGAACAAAGAGGTGGAAAACGAAAGGAAGCAAAGTTTTTCAGATGCGTAAAGGGAAGAGAGAAAGAGAGCCGATTTGGTGATGCACTACTGGGGATCATAATGCGCAAGCATATATTGGATTTCAAAAGGTGAAAAGAAAGCCAGCTTGAGATTGGAAAAAAAAAAGCAATTTGCAGTTGCAGGTGAGAGTGGGTGGAGGAGAGGAGAGGAGAGGGAGGTGGTTCAAATAATTGGGGGGAGGGCTTAGTTAGTGTGCAATGTGCATGCTTCCTCCAATTCAAAGTCTCGTGCAATGACTTATGAGGATTGGAGAAGTAGAAGAGAGAGATCTACAACTATTGTTGGATTGTGTTTTTCATGATCCAGAATTATTCGATGCACGTTTTATAATTTCTCACAAAATTTTCACCTTCGACATGTAGAAAAGTTATCAAGTTGTGTGTATAGTATTAGTAACCATGACCACAACCCAAATGGACCTATACATAAGCCAAACTCCGAGAAAGAACAATCCACAAGAGAAAAAGAGCTCACAACCAGACCCAAATCACACACAAATAAAGCCAAAACCCACAATAAAATGTGACGAACAAGAAACCCTAGCTCATAAACCTATTGCTCAGAGCAAATGTCGATGCATATCCCAATCTCCACAAAAAAGTCACACCTACTGAAATCCACACAGATAAAATATTCCATCGTTACAGTGAACTATAACAAACTACCGTACGTGTCCGTCTAATGAATATCTTGCAAAACGCTCAATCCAACTAAGGATATTTTTTGTGCCAACCCATGAGCCATGAGTCCTACCAACCCATCACTGAGGTGCCGAAGTCAATTTCTTTTGTTTAAATTATTTGATGGTGACTGACTTCAAGAGAAGAGTTGGCTTGTCACCGCAATGTACTTACCTCATCAATTTTTTAAAATTCAAGGGTTGTGATTTAATGGTCCAGCTGATTCATTTTTTTGATTTGGATTGGTATGAATGTCTTTGTTGGAGAATGGAAGGAATCATGAAATGAATGTCATGTCATCCATCTTTGTTCTGCACATGGCGGGTGGGGAGGAGAGGACTGAGGAGGACTCATCACCTCGAATAAAAATGTTTATGGGTTATAGCTTGTACAACACATGTGATTACCTCACGGCTGATGCTTTTTTCTCTAAATCACTTTTATGAGTTCATGTGATCTCGAGAATCTCATCTTTAATTGTGTAGGATTGAAGTTAAATTTGGGTTTATGGTGCTTCATCAACCGTCTTTTTTGCTACTCTCTTTATTTAAAAGCAGAAAAATCTCATATTGGAATACTGTAGTTGGCAACAAAATGTATTATGCCAAAATAAGACAAAAGTCGATCAGGAATGCTATGTTGCAAGTACATCTACAACTCACTCACGACTTGTGATCCAATCGAGTACATATTGGAGAAATCACGAGCATGTTTAAGTGATTTGATAGTTTCACTTATAAGATGTTTGATATATGTCGTTTATTTAAGAGAAACAAGTGTGTGCATTTCTTACTTTTTGATATGTTACACTACTTGATTATGCATTGTATATTGTTTTTAGACCTCTCTGAAAATTCTATTGAGTATCAACCTACTTCATCTATAATTTTCTTATTATAGTTTTTGTCATTCCAACTACACCGACAATATACCTGCATGAAGACCCACACACATCACTCTTTAGGAGTCGTTGATTGTAGGTTAGTCGAACTCTAAAATTCATAGTGAGATATCTTGATCATATTGTTGTAGACAAGTATGAATAGTGACGAAATACAACACATCCAAATTAACAGAATGCAAATTTCCATTTGACTCGAAAGAAGCGCAACACACCGGAATACATTATATGCTGAGAATTCCTTTTTAATGACTCCATTATTTCATTTCTGAGCATAATCATGGTGAGCACTAATAAGACGTACTAAATCTCCTAGTTGAGAATCCTGGAATCAGCAGTACTCAAGATGAAAATGATTCCTCATGTTACGTTATACCAAACAAGACAATTTGGAGGGCCATCGTCGCGATAGTGGGTTGGATCACTGTCATTTTGCAAGAAACATGCCTTCTTGTCCCATTGGATTGCACAAACACCTGTTAGTAATCATGCAAAAGTTCTTTCTTCGATGGTAGTGGGAGCAAGCAAAGCAATGATGTTGCCAATTAAATTTAAACGGCGCCCTTCGCCCCCAAGTGTTGCGGGAACCAATTTATTGGGTTTGGGCCTTATATAGTTGGACGAATGGGCTCCTTCTAAGCTCATTAGAAGATAGGGCCGATTTGGTCGTTTGTTGGGCCAATACTATGGTGTCGCAGTAAAAAGTGCGGCATCGGTGACGCGACTTCTTATTGGTCCACGTGGCTGTGGTTTGGCATTGGGTTTGTTTAATTAATCTCAACCAAACCTAAATGGCCCGTTAGAAATAGCCCAAACGGCCTGTCCAAAGTAACGGCAACATTAGAGAACTAGGATTGACGCCAAACGGATCAGAAGCACAGTTCATCGATCTCCTTCGTCGGCAGCCTCTGCATAATCCCTCCCGGTGACTTGTCCGTCATCGATCCCATCTCCCGGGTCTACCTATCGCCTAGATTGAGACCCCTTGACCGCTCCCTCCTACATTGATTATGTATAACAAAGACAAAAGAATCCCTCGTCGTCCTCGACCTCTGTCTTCGTGGAATAGCATCGCCGCCAAAATACCAGACTATCACAAATCAAAGAAGAAGATATTTGCCTCCCTCAGTACCGTACGCCTAGCTTTGCATCGTCCCTGTTAGAATCGCCAAAACCAAGTTCTAGGTGTTGAGCGCATTTCTCCACCAATGCAGAGGCTAGATGATGAAGCTTGTTTGTTGGTGGAGATAGATGTTGAAGTTAATCAGTTGGTGAAAGAATTCACTTTTATGTTCAACCATTTTGGTGTGATGAATGATAGATCGGAGAGTAGGAAAGTGACTTGCAGATGGACTGTCACTGCAGAAGATCATTCACTCCTCAAAAGAAAGGCATGCCTAACAGAAGTTGTGAGGATGGATACAATAAGAAGTTGCCTTTCCACAGAAAGATCATTCACTCCTGCTCTTACGAAGATGTGAACTACCTAGCTACAATTAGTTCTGGGATTTGGGTATTTTTTTTTGTATTTGGGAGGGATTAGGGTTGTCCTTTCATTTACTTTCGTTTGACTAGTACATCGGTGAGGTTTTAGTTACCCATATGTATTTCAGTTCCCTGTTCTTGATCCTATTGTATTTTCAGATAGGTCTTCATGCTTCAATTGGTGACTTTTAATAAGTTCGGAGTTGAGTAATTGAGTTGCATGTACAACAAATGTTAATATTAACTTGATATCTAAAGGAGTTTAATCTGACTTATGTTTATAAAGCCCGACCACACTGTTGGTTGATTAGTGTTCCATTCTTAACGTAATGTTTTACTTCAATCCTTGTGCAAATGAGATAAACCAGTAACTTTTGGTATTGAGCTTAGCATTCTTGTAAGTTATTCACGAAGCATGGCCAAGTAAAATGGCTATGGAATGAGCTTCTGCATGTTTTTCCCTTCTAGCAAGTAAAGTGGACAAACACCATTTCAAAGCTTTACTAGCTATAATTCAAGTTGGTAATAACACAGAAATGAACAATCGGTATTATAGTCTCCCAATCTTTCACACAAAAGTACCTAGAACTTCACTAAGGCTATATGATCTTATCCAACAGTCTGCAAAACAGAACCCTGAAGGAAGCAAACTACCAAGCGATGGTTCAGTAGCTTCTCATATATTTCCACAAATCATCCCAAGAGCCAAATCAGATAGTGAGGCTGCAATTTGGCAATGAGCTAGCCTCAACTCATTCCTCAACTCTTCTAAACCTTGTCCTTGTTACTTGGAAAGCCTCTTCATTGCTGTCATTTCATCACCACTCAAATTTTCCTGCTAACAGAATAAAGCTACCCTCTCAATAAGCCAAAGAAAGCAACCTAGCAAAGTCAGATAAAGAATGCAAATTTGTAACCTAAAATCAAAAGGGCGAATCACCAACCTTCTAGACAGGCCCAAATCCACTTTCTACTAGCTTGATAACTTCTGAGAAGTTATCAATAGCAACCAATACTTGTTCTTCTGGAAAAACTCTTATGTGTATTTCATACTTGTTCTTCTCAATGTCAACCATTTAATTCATGACACCGATGGTCGTTTTACATTCGTGCGACAGGCAACGGTGGCCGTCTGGAGTGCGACACAACGACATGGATTTGGGACAGCGGCCCGGTGCGGGGAGCGGGAGGCGGAGATGTATGATGCCAAGGCCACTGAAGGAGACGATCTTGAGCTTGGACGTCGGAGGAGATGCGAGCTACGGCCGGAGGAGCTGCCGCCGATAATGAGGGTAATGTCGAGCAGAAGGTTTTGCGACTGAGCAAGTAGTAGGTCGATGTCGAGAAGATGAAGCAACCGATTGAGGAAGACGACTCTCGGCTCTCGCTATTCCCTTTTCCAAACGGCTGAGTGAGGACGGAGACGTTATTTCGTCCCATTCACTGGCTGCGGTTTGGGCTGTCCAATGGATCAAAGGGTTTGAATTAAATCTGTTTAACCCAGACCAATGCCACGTCATAGCCACGTGGACCAATAGGAAGCTGCGTTATCAGTGCCGCATTTTTAATAGCGGCACCATAGTATTGGCCCGTTTGTTGATTCGAGCTAGTTTAGTTTGGTATCAACACATATCCACGTGGATGGTACTGGACTGGACCAGTTATCTGGGCTACTGCTCGGTTGAAGTCGCTGAACTTTGAGGTATGAGCAATACGAGATTGGGCTTTTTCTCGTTTAAAATACAAGCAAAAGGCCTGAAATACATCTTGAAAAAAAGCCCCATTGGAAGTTGCATGGTTAAATATATGCATCGTTGGAAATTCATGTATAATATTCTATATATGTATATCGAATTTGATGCATTGTAAATTACAACGTTTAGTATGTGTGATTGTATATGTAACATCAGTTAATAGGTTAGACAAAACAATATCAACTCAATTATCTAAATAATCACAACTAAAAGTTGAGATATAATAATCACTCATTTTGAGTAAACGTTTCTGTCACATCGCAGAAACAATCCATGTATAGTTTTTGCTAAAAATAAAAATGATACATTCTAAACAATACATGCATAGTAATAACCTGACCAAAACAATCACAACTTTCAAAACACTCCTTCAACTAACTTTGAAACACTGAGACATAATCTTCGCTTCTACATCTACAATGTCCAAATTCCCTCCCAAAACCAGCTTTCCATCAGGAAATGTTATTGCTGCTCTTGCACCCTTTCAACTCCCGTGCTTGAGAACTCATCAACTTGATATCTTCAATCAGAAGCTCCAAATTCTCGTAAGAAGATCCACCTTCCTTGACACTCTCCTTCGCCATTCTCGCCATCTCCACCGCCTTCCTCCCAAACTCTTCCTTCTTCTCCACCATCAGTTCATTCACCATCCTTTCCACAACCCTTCTGTCACATACATCCTTCATATCCAAACCCAACTTCAAAACCTCACTCACAATCCTACTGTTCACTTGCTGGTCCGCGAAAAACGGCCAGCAGATCATCGGAACCCCAGCCACAATGCTCTCCAGAGTCGAGTTCCACCCGCTGTGAGTCAAGAACCCACCAACCGCGTCATGACTCAGAACCGCCTCCTGAGGCGCCCAGCCCACCAGGACCTTCAAATTCTCCTTCTCAATCCCTTCCACAAGCTCTTCAGGAATTTCATCACCATCCAATTCCTCCTCATGAGAAACCAACCCGGGCCTTATGACCCACAAAAACCGGTTCTTGCTACTGGTCAGACCTTCCCAGAATTCGACCAGCTGCTCCCTTCTCATCACCGTGATGCTCCCGAAGTTGACGTATAGCACGGAGCCAGGTGGCTGAGTATCCAGCCACGTCAGACAGCTGGCCTCTTCCTTCCACAGACTGTTCGACGACGACGACGTCGTCGTGGTCCCCTGCAGCCGTGATTTCAGGTGCTCGTGGAGCGGCCCAATTGCGTAGGTTTTGGGGAAGAGGTGGCGGACTTGGGCCAGAATCGGGCCGTCAAAATCATCAAACGTGTTGAGAATGAGAGGAGACGGCGGCGAAGAAGAAGATTCTCTCGTCGTCCTTACAATCCGAGCCAGAACCTGGTCGTCGGCGCTAACCCGGCAGTACCCTGGTAGATCTCGACACCTCAAGAAAGATTCCATTCCAGGCACCTTCGTGATCATCCTGTCCATATCCCCATTCCCTTTTCGTCCAGGAAGAAAAGGTCGAATCAAAATCAACTCCTCATAAATTTAAAATTCAGACAAAATAAGTTCAGATCTGACTGTTTTTAAATTATACCTTGGACGGGGAGTTCGCCGGCCTCGATAATTTCCGGCAGCCAGAAGTTAATCCAGAAGCAAGAAACTCCGACTGTGCGAAATCGAATAATCGGGATCCCGACTTCCACAGAGACGTCGCGGATAAACCCCAGGACGCCGTCTCCGATAACACAGGTGACCGGTGGGTCCATCTGGGCCAGCAAATCTTTGAAAATGGGCCTGGTTTTCAAGCCCATTTCCCGCATCAAGTCCAAGACCTTCTCGCCCTTGGTGAGCTGGTCCATTGGAAGGCCGTCGTCGATGGTCTTGAACTGGAACCCGGGGTATTTACGGAACCGGGATTCGGCGTCGGAGAACTGGATTAGGCGCTTGTGATTGTAGTCGGAGTTGAGGAAGGTTACCCGGATGCCGCCTTCGCCGCCGGCGAGGGAAAGGAGCTCGGCCAGTTTGAGCATGGAGGAGACGTGGCCCTGGACTGGCAGCGGGAAGATGAGAACGTGAGGGATTGGAGAGGCTTGTTCCATTATTGCTGCTGCTTCCGTCATTGAATTCAGGAGATGCGGGGTTTTGTGTGGGCTATATTTATTTCCAAACATCGGCTGCAGTTTTTGTTGTTTTCTTGTCACGGACTGCTATAGAGTTGGCCATTTTCAACTGGTCAATTAGATCTTCATCGATCTGTTGTGCCATCTCCACTCATAAAACTAGTTAGTATTTTCTCACCATAAAACTTGTCTCAGTCGGTCAGCCGTATTGACTACTTCAAGCTTTGATACTTGACATAAGTCACTAGTAAAACACTTGTAATAATGGTTGATATGATTTGAGTCAGATTTCAATCGAAGGTTACGGAGTTAGATCGTTTGAGAAAGTAATTTATATATTTTTCATATTCTTATATACTTTATCTCTCCTCAATTTTAGTGAGACTCGCTCTCTTCAATTTGTGGGCTAGCTAAAATACATTGTGTTAGTGAATCACATAAATATGCATGTTTTTTACCTTTTTTTTGCATTTTTAATTTCTTGATCCGTTCTAATGATAGCTTACTTGTTTTCTTACAAAAACCATGTTAGCAATAGGAATGACAATGAGACGGAAAATGGTGGGTACCTCAAATATCCATACATGCCCTGCATCAAACGTGGGTTATGTTGGGTAATACCCGTGCAAGTACAGGTAGAGAAATGTCGACCCATACTTATATATAATTTAAAGATTTTTTTTTAATTTTTAACTATAAAACAAAAGAAAATAGTTCATAAATGGAAAGTAGAGATAATAGTTAGCCTAATTGAGTGAAATGAGTAGAAAGAGTTATCTAAAGTATCATTGAGTGAAAATATGATCTAAGATGAGTAAAATTAGGGTAAATACAATTAAATATTTAGACAAATCAAGAGAGAACGGGCCGAGACCGGGCGGGAGTGGTACCCATGCCCTGCCCCAACTACTGTGGTTAGGTATTACTCGACTAATTGCAAGTTAGGTAAGGTAATACCCGGCCCCAACACCCAACGAGGCGAGTTCAAATTGCCATCAATATATTTCAAGTTGCCTTCTACGGATTGGTATTCATAGCGTGTCCTCTTGTTCAAGACGTCTAAAATCAAGCTTGAGGAGGGAATTGTAATTTAATCAAAGATTGTAAAACTATAAATAAGGTTATATCGAAAGAATTAGTGATATGATACTTTGTACTACAAAAATAATTTATCTGTTATTCAATTATTATATATCCTTAAAATCACCTACCGATTTAATAATAATACACGATATTCTCAATCCGACCGATAAATAATAGGGTATAATTTCTAAAATATCGTATTCACCGCAATGGCGGATACATGAGGGTTTAGGGGTGTCCCGGGACACCCCTAAAATTTGGGAATACGATTATTCAATCTCCGGTAGTACTTTTGTATGGATAAAAAAAATATAATTAGTGATTCGGGACATACCTACAACGATAATCCTATTCTCGATAGTAGTTTGCGTATACTTAAAGAAAAAATAAAGCGATAGTCTGTGTTATTCAAACTTAGGATATACTATATTTTTTAAACATTGTTCTCCATGAAGTTGCAACTCATTTGTTGTTCTATTTTAAACACTACGTAATAGCAAAAAGTTATTCCTTATCCCCGACTATTTTTAAAATATAACAATTAAACTAATTACGGGCTACCCTTAATTTGAATTAATTTCATGGTTACACAACAAGTGTTGAAAGAGTCTTTTCAACTTTGAGTTACATCAAGAACAATGTTAGAAATCCATATGCGATCAATTGGTGAACTATTGTCTAGTAAGATATACAGATTTATTGAGCAATTTACCAAACCTATGTTTTATTCTTTTTCAGAATATAAAAACACTTTGTGGCCTTTTGTAAAAATTTATACTAGTCCGATATTTTTTTATTTATGAATTATTTATTTTATTTTAATTTTCATTGAAGAGGACACCCCGTTAAAAATTTCTAGATCCGCCACTGATTCACCGTAACTCTTAAGATGTCTGTGGCAGTTGTGAATTGGTGTGAAGTCCCATTTCCATGGTGTGCTGTTGGCACTTTTTTTTTTTTTTTGACATAATGCTGTTGGCACTTGTTGCTATCCTTTTGGTTAGATCCTATGTCGTTCTTGTCTTGTTACTGTATTTGCGTGATGCCTTTTGGTTTTCATTTGTTGTAACAGTAGTGTGGTTCGATTATTCTTCCTCTTTTCTTTTATCTCTTTTTTTGGCTCTCCTATTTGTTTTGTTCTTCCTGCTCTGGTTAAGTTCTTGTGAACCTCTATTGCTGTTGAAACTCGGTTTGTCCATTTTTTCCGTAATGAATTCTTATAGCCATTAAAAAAAAACTTACTAAGCTGTATACTTTTGGGGACCAGAAAGGATGACAATAAGAGGCAAAGTAGCCAAAATCCAGAATACTTATTTGGTGCCCAAGAACAACTAAGGGCAAGCATGATGCACTGAATTTCCCCCCAAAACCAACTTTCCATCACGAAATGCTGTTGTTGCTCTTGGACCCGTTCACCTCCTGTGCTTGAGAACTCATCAACTTAATATCTTCAATCAAAAGCTCCAAATCCCTGTAAGAAGAACCACCTTCCTTGACACTCTCCTTCGCCATTCTCGCCATCTCCGCCGCCTTCCTCCCAAACTCTTCCTTCTTCTCCACCATCAGCTCATTCAGCATCCTCTCCACAACCCTTCTGTCACAAACATCCTTCATATCCAAACCCAACTTCAAAACCTCACTCACAACCCTACTGTTCACTTGCTGGTCCGCGAAAAAAGGCCAGCAGATCATCGGAACCCCAGCTACAATGCTCTCCAATGTCGAATTCCACCCGCTGTGAGTCAAGAACCCACCAACCGCATCATGACCCAAAACCTCCTCCTGAGGCGCCCAGCCCACCAGGACCTTCAAATTCCCCTTCTCAACCCCTTCCACTAGCTCTTCAGGCATATTGTCACAACCCATTTCCACTTTGAAACAAACCGAACCGGGTCTTATGACCCACAGAAACCGGTTCTTGCTGTTGATCAACTCTAGAATTTTTAGCAATGATTCCCAAACCCCAAACTTAGTGTGCTACCGTATCGGGAGATTGATCGCAAGCTGGCTATTGTCCTCAAACAGGGTGGAATTATTGGTTGCAGAGAGTTGGCTTGCAATCCTGAGAAGGGAACTGCTGCCCAGGAGAGTTGAGAGCATGTGACGATCCTGATTTGGCTGCCATGGTCTCCTTTGATCAGGCTTCAGTCTCCTTTTGTCCTCCCCTTGTTGCTATTTGTTTGTCGTTTGCTGTTTGTTGTTCGTTTGATTGTTTTGCTTAATTTTGTCTCTGTAACTTCTTTAATTATCTAATTGAGGTCACCTTTTTCCAAAAAAAAAAAAAAAAAAAAAAAACCTTCCCAGAACTCGACCGCCTGATCTCTTCTCATCATCGTGATGCTCCCGAAGTTGACGTACAGCACGGAGCCAGGTGGCTGAGTATCCAACCACGTCAGGCAGCTTGCTTCTTCCTTCCACAGGCTGCTGGACGGTGACGAATACGGCGTCGTATGGAGCCGTGATCGCAGGTGCTCGTGGAGCGGTCCAATTGCGTAGGTTTTGGGGAAGCGGTGGCGGACTTGGGCAAGAATTGGGCCGTCCAACTCATCAAATGTGTTGAGAATGAGAGGATACGGCGGCGACGAAGATTCCCTCGTCGCCCTTACGATCCGAAGCAGAGTCGGTTCGTCGGAACGTCCCCGACAGTACGCCGGTAGATCTCGGCACCGTAAGAAAGATTCCGTTCCGGGTACCTTCGTAATCATCCTGTCCATATCTTCCTCGCCTTTTTAAATTCCAAGATAATTACAAAAAGTCGAATCATTGCCTATAATTAAACTAATTCTGTATTTTAAATTCAGAAAAAGATAAGTTCGTGTATAACAGAGTAATAGTACCTTGGATAGGGAGTTCGCCGGCCTGGATAATTTCCGGCAGCCAGAAGTTAATCCAGAAGAAACAAGTGCTAATTGTGCGAAATCGAATATTCGGGATCCCAAGTTCCAGGGAAACTTCGCTGATAAACCCCAAAGCGCCATCGCCGATGACGCAGGTGACAGGTGGATCCATCTGAACCACCGAGTCTTTGAAAACCGGTCTGGTTTTCGAGCCCATTGCTCCGACCAATTCCGAGACCTTGTGGCCCTTCGTAAGCTGGTCCATCGGAAGACCATCGTCGATGGTCTTGAATTGGAAGGCTGGGTAGTTTCGGAACCGGGATTCGGCGTCGGAGAACTGGATTAGACGCTTGTGGTTGTAGTCGGAATTGAGGAAGGTAACCCTGATGCCGCCGCCGCCGACGACTAGGGATAGGAGCTCGGCCAGTTTGAGCATGGAGGTGACGTGACCCTGAACTGGCAGTGGGAAGATGAGAACGTGAGGGATTGCGGTGGCTTGTTCCATTTTTGCTACTTCTGCCCCTTCAATTCAAATGGAGTTTGGCCTGCTATATTTATACACATCTACCTTATAAATTTTTTGGGGAAAATGGATAGAGATTTTTTTTTTACAGAGTTACCTTGGAAACTATGTAATATCTACCGATAAACATCATCATAAGACAAGTAGTTAGAGCATTTGAGCTCATCAGAAGAATAAAAGGTTGCAGGTTGAACCATTCTTTACTTGGACTTCATTGACCGAATATCCTCGATCAAAGCCTCCAGGTTCTGGCGCGACGATCCTCCAAAGCCAACACTGGATCTCGCCAACTCGGCTATCTTCGCCGCCGATGTCGCGAAATCTTCCTTCCTCTCCACCATCAATTCAACCACCATCCTCTCCACCACCTTTCTCGTACAAGCATCCTTCATGTCCAATCCCAGCTTCCATACCTCGCTCGTAAACCTGCTGTTCACTTGCTGATCAGCGAAATACGGCAAGCAAATCATCGGCACACCAGCTACAATCGTCTCCAGGGTCGAGTTCCATCCGCTGTGGGTCAGAAACCCACCCACGGCCTCGTGATCGAGCACTTCCTTCTGTGGCGCCCATCCTGACACCACCATGTATTCTTCTCCTTGAACCCCTTTCACTAGCTCTTCAGGGTAAGTGATTGTATCGTTAGTATTGCTTCCAAGCTCGGCGACCGAGCCCTGCCTCATGACCAACAAGAACCGCTGCTTGCTGTTGACGAGACCGTGCCAGATTTCGATCAGGTCTTCTGGTGTCATCACTGCTATGCTGCCGAAGTTCACGTAGAGGACGGACTTGGGTGGGTGCCTGTCTAGCCATTCCAAGCAGCTTCTGTCTTCTTCCCATAGACTTGACGATGATGATGATGGTTGTAGGGTGAGCTTTGATCTCAAGTGCTCGTGAATTGGTCCGATTGTGTATGTTTTGGGACAGTGAGCTGCAATTTGGGTCAGAATTGGACCTTCTAAGCCCTCGAATGTGTTGAGGATCAGTGCGTAAGCTTTGGTGGACTGTTGAGTGGCGGATGCCAAAGCTTGGAGGGATGGATGGGAGAGGTCTGGGGAGCGGCAAAAGCTCGGAAGGTCTCTGCACCTGAGAAATTCTTCTGTTCCTGGTACTGTGGTTATCAGCCTTTCCATATCTTCGTCTCCTGCTCTCAGGGGAATTTCATCGAACACGTTATCAGCGTAACTAAGAAAAACGGAAAATGATGTTCTGATGTTTCGTCTTCAAAGATTTACCTCGGATTGGGAGCTCGCCTGCTTCAATCATGTCAGGGATGCAGAAATAAGTCCAGAAGCAGCAGGCGCCGATCGTACGGAAATGGACGACCGGAATCCCGAACTCGGCGGCAACTTCGAGAGGGAATGGAAGAGCTCCGTCGCTAATCAGGCAGTCGATCGGTGGGCGAATCGAGGGAAGCAAATCCCTGAACAGGCGCCTGGTTATGGTGCCCATGGATTCGAAAAGGTCGAGAACCCGCTCGCCGCTGCGGGGGTGGTCGGAAGGCAGGCCGTCGGAGATGCTCTGCAAGCTGAAGAGCTGGTGGTAGATGGCGAAACGGGACTGGACGGTGGTAAAGCGGAGGAGCCGGTGGTGGTTGTGGTCGGAATTGAGGAAGGTTACTCTGAGGTTGGAGAGGCAGAGGAGCTCGGCTAAGTTGAGCATGGTGGTGACGTGGCCTTGCACCGGGAGAGGAAACATTAGAACGTGAGGCGGCGGCGCTGGAGTAACGGTGGTCGGTATCGGCCGGCGACCGGATTCTGTCATCGCTTTCCCCCCTTGATCCTTGGTGGGAGCGAAAGGAAGAATTGTTGATGACAAAATGAAGAAGGTGACTGGTGAAGGAAGGAATCGTCGGTCGCTGACACCTTATCGCATCATCAAGATGTTTAAGGTTTAACACCTGTGCTAGCTTCCAAACAGACTATGACACTACAATTTTGTCTTGTTTCAATGGTATAGCTTCAAGTTTGATGATTTCCAAGTGAGGCATCCTGGCCGATGTTTTCTGCTAACATCTCCAACCCAACTCGAGGCCTTGCAACAATGGAGTAGCAGCCATTGTAGGCAAAAGAAGTATACTGTTCTAAAAAAATCGAAGCCGTAGATAAGAGTTATGTACAATGAACTTGTGGGGATTACATTCTTGGATTGTGGATTTGTGGTGCCTTCTTCCTCGCAAGAAAGAAACTACAGAAGACACATATTGGAAATTATACTGATAACTTTTCCTTTATATGTAGAAATACCGAGTTTAATGCTAAGGCTAAAAGGCCAAAAACTTGGGGTGTTCATCGCGGAGATTGCAATGAACCATATTTACAGAACTCACGCATCCCATCCAAAGAAGAAAGAACAAAAAAAACAGTTTATCACCAATCTTCTTCTTCATCATCATTCTCTTCAGGATTATCAGGAACATCAACATCAATAGCAACTACTTTAGATGCACTGATCTTGGTAGAACCCGATCGAATCTTCGAAGGGAACTTTTCACCATCATTACCCTTACCCTTGCCCATCACCCCAAACCCTTCTTCTTCGTCCTTCTTCAAGTCACGGGGTGGAAGGAAACAGTCCATTGACAGCCCCTTGATGTTGAAATCGACTTCCTCAATCGCCCACACCTCCTCCATTCTTGTCCTGGAATGGCTTTCTGAATTCTCACCGAACCTGAACAACGACACCTTCGTCCTCCCTGCGTGAGCGATGTTGATCCCGTCTATGGTTCTGTAGTCCTGGATCGTCGACTCCATCGTCGTCTCCCAGAACACGCTGTTGTTTCCTGGTGCTTTGATTCTCAGGAGGTGGGAGTCTTCTAGCTGGACTAGAAGTCCTGTTCGTTGGCTGAAGTATCCCCATACTGTGTGTCTTATGATCTCGACGTTGTTGGTGCTTCTTGATAGTAGTGATGAAGCGTCCGCTTCCAGTTTCAGCATGAAACAGTCCTCGCCATTGATCGCCTTTTCACCCATACAAATTGAGTTGGAGAATAGGTTGGCTGTCGACCTTGGATCAAGACCCTGTTCAGAAATGTGAAATTTCAGGTCAGCTAACTGATGGAAATGAGGTTTGGGCTTTGGCTGAAAGCTAGCTACTCTACTATGGTGGGCTGCCCTACATCATGGCATGGCCCATGTTCAACTAACTAACAGCTAACTGAAGTTTCTAAATTCTAATGCATTCCAACCATTGTGTTGACATTTCTGAACTTGAATTATCTATAAGACTATAACACAAATTTGTTGACTTTATACTAAAGAAGAAAGGAAAAGAACTTAGTGGGCAAAGACTACTATAACAAACGGGAAGAAAAGCTAACAACCTGATAAAAAGTTTTGGTAGGCTAAGGTCCCACCAGAAGGGAAAATAGGGTGTGAGAGGCTGCAAGTGGCGGGACAAAGTTTGATATTTTACACGTGAACATGAAATTCATGGCCTGGTGGCTGCTAGTCGGTGGTTTCATTCCTCCTTCCAAGAAACCAATCCAAAACAACCACCATAAAGAACAGATTGGAGGCTCAATTGGCGTTTTCTAAAGAGGGCAGCAATAGCATCATCTGGTTACTACATTCAGTCAGTCAATTGAAAATCCCCAAACACAACAGCACATGGAAATCAGAACAGATTCTAATAGCAGATGATAAGTCCCAATCCTAACAAAGCTGAGATAATAAGAACAAGCTCTCTATTGGTCCCAATTTTGGAGATGAAGTGTTTTTAGTTACCTGAAGGAAGCGTCTGAGTGGCCTTGGGGGACCTCTGGAAGCATGGGAATGGTGCCATGGAGTCTGCCTCCAAGCAACTTTACCATCACTGCCTGCACTGATCTTGCAGCCTGACACAACCAGCTCCAAACACCAAAGCTCGGGCCTTTTCTGCCACAGAACGAAACCTCCCATCTCCCCACTCCCACTTTTCGAATTCTTCACCTTAACCACCTTGTTGTTCGTTGTCCCTTCCCCGGAAGAGAACTCCGATGCAGCCATTTTCACTTTCCCCATTGCACACATGCTCTCCACAGAATTCAGAGCCGTTTCCCCTCCCACCGCCGCCACGTACTGCTGCACAATGTATTTCGCCATCGACGACTCCTGTAAACACCCCACACCACGTCATTAACACATTAATCCCCACTCAAAACAAGAAACCAACATTCTCAGAGGCATTTGATCAAGCACTAAGCGGGTAGAAAAAGAACTTACAATTGGTTGGTCCTTAAAATTCCGGGTAACGAACTGATGATCGGAGCTGATAGGGAAAGGGATTAAAGGGGCGCCAGCAACACCCAACAGGAGCTGAATCTCGGTGCTCTTCTCCCCAAATGCTGCCAACTGAGCCTTCTGGTCACTATTATACCCGCCGCCGGCGACGGCTGTGTTGGGCCTCGTCATCCAGGACTTCATACTCTGCCACGAGTAATTCTTGTTTTGGCCCGAAGGGCTGAACATTTCTTCAGGGATGGGGACCTCCAAAACCGTCTCCAGCCCATCTTCGCGATCGAGATTTGGACAGAGTTTCCTCATCAGGGTTTCCTTATCAGAGGCAGCCACAACGCAAAGTGAGAAGGAATATGGGTATTGGTTATAGAGAAAGAGGGGTTGTTTTCTTGGTTGGGTTGGAAGAAAAGAAACGATCTTTGGGCTGGGAGAGCGAAAGATTTGGAGAGGGGAGCGGAAGGAGAAAACAGAGGAAAGAAAGAATACAGAAGAGAGTGAGTCTTGGAAGGAAAGGGAGACTGAAGAAAAGGGGGAGAGTGGTATCTGATTATTTTTAGGGTTTATCAGTTTTGGTACTCAAACAATTAACATTTTACCAACCGACCATTGCCCACTACCAACGTGGGGGCGTACTTTTGTCCATGTCGTGTCTGCACGCTCTCTCTGTATCTCTTTGTTTGCCTTGCCCCCTTTTCTTTCTTTGCTCACCTTTCTTTATTTGTAATCCTATATTTGTTGTTTCAAGTTTCAACACCAAAATAAATCTTAATTATGTTTCCAAGTTTACTCCTCAGTCCTCACCATTTTTTTCTAATCTTAAAGTGAAGTACTCCAAGAGATTATGATAGAAGAAAATTGGTGCCACGATGGAGACTTATTGAAAAAAAGTAGATTTCGTAAACATCGAATTGTTTATTTTTAAGAAAAATATTGAATTGTTAATGACGAAGAAAACTAACAAATGAATAGGGGTGTAATGTGTTTTTTTCGAAATGAAGAGGAGCTTAATGAGATGATAGTGGCGACGGAAATTCAAGAAAACAAAATGTTTGAAAATCACTCTTATTTTTCATATTTCAAATAATTTGAGTTAGCAAACTATGATGTATACTTAACAAATTTGGATAAAAGATTGTAGCGAAAGGGCTCCGGACGAAAAGAACCCTGGCGAGAAATGACTCGATGATTTATTAGAGTTCTTAATTATGGGTTTCACTAGTCAACTTTACATAACAATATGACTAAAATGTTTGTTGTTGCATCCCATTTTACTTTAGGAAGACTTCAATTTGATTCAACCCTTTCACCAACCTCAGCTTTGAAAATACCGGATATGAAGAAAATTGGGGTCTAATCTAATCTAATCTAATCTAATAAGTTGTTGCATAATTGTCGCTTTGATGGATGGCCAAACAGAAATGACCCATTTTAATTGGCCATATTTCAACCTGTTTATATGATTTATCGCTCTGTAGCTGCTAGGGTTTCTTATATTTACTACACCCTCCATTGTTCATTATTAACTAGTTCCTGGTGCATGTTGCAAATATAGATTCCGGTATAATTTTCCGATATTGGATCCTCTGTTCCTGCTGGCTGGCTGCCTATGATCTGTTGTTATTAGTTAAAAGAATAAAATCCTCAGCTGAATCATTGTTTGGATCCTATTGCCAGATTATTTGATCTATATATATATTTCCTTTTTAATTCTACCAAAATTCCAAGGATCTAATCTGATACTTCTGCCCTCCTGCCTGCCAAAACGAGCAAAAACAAATCTCTGGATCAATTTTTTTTTTTTAATCCTACAGCTTGCTTGAAGAGGACCATTCTAGTTGGTTAAGCAGCTTATACATGTTTACCTCAAACTTGTGTATGCACATTGGTCGAACGGTATCAATAATATAATGAAAATGTTTAGGTGATTGGTCTGAATTCTCTTTAATTTTCTTATCTTCTTTGATATAAAAATAGTGTCGATGTTATTTATTTGGGGAAAAAAGTGTTAGTACATGCACGACTATGGTTTTTGTTGGAGATTAAAAACGAAAGAATATATAATAGTTATATCAATTGGGTTGCGAGATTGACATTTCCGTTTATAGTCATGAGTATCCGACCCACCCTCTAATTTATTTGACGAGAAAATTCTTGTAAATACTGGGTTGTGACTTGTGAGATAGGTATTTCCAAGGTTGTACAGAATGTGGGAGGAATGAGTTTGGGTGCTCTGACCCGTTTCCATAGTAGCGCGTTAATACTAGAGCTGGGAAACGTTACGGTCTGGTCCGTATGACCGTATCAGATCATATATACGGTTTATGATTCAGATCGAGAGGCTGGAGTATAAACCAAAGATCAGATCACGTACTATACGATTCAAACCAGATCATGCATGTTCGGTGTGGTTTGGTATGATATGATCCAGATAAATCACAATGAAGGAAAATGAATAATTTGTTTAGTCAATCACACAAAAAATTGAATCGGTAACCGTTAAAATTTTGATTTTTCCCCCTTAAAACGTAAACTGCAACGTGCATGAAGAATTTTGACACCCTACATCTCGGTAAACATAAAAAAAATACAAAGTCAAAGCATCCCAACTTGCACCATAACGTCATAAACATTAATATAATGTCATATGGAGTCACGATCGTCTCAACTCTCTGGTGAAATGTGGATGTCAATGAAAGAGGTTACGAGTTCCTTAAAAATAGGATTGGGACTTGGGTCTTGTTGAGGGAATTAGTAGAGTGCTCGAGTG